GAGTACAGCAGGAATGCATCCACCATCGGCACCATTGTAGCGATGAGGGAGAAGATCCTTGCCATGGATGCAGCGTGGGGGGTCACCAGGATCGCAAAGAACCAGCCAGCTGTCCTGGAGGAGGTGGAGAAGCTCCTTGTCATCTGGATGCAGGAGAAGGAGCGTGCAGGGTTTAAGAAGAGCTACATGAAGGAGCTTTTCCGGCAGTGCTTCAAGGTGACCGAGGACACCAACCTCACCCTCCGTGAATTTTGGAAGGAGCACTTTGACATTGTTGGCTGCCTCAAGATGATCGCCACGGCCTGGGACAGCATCAGCCAGAGGAACTTGAACTCTGTGTGGCGCACGCTCTGGCCAGACTGTGTGGCTACTGGTGTTTCTGCGCCTGCACCAGGGTCCACGGTGATGCAGGACATTGTGGCCTTGGGGAGGAACATGGGCCTCGAGGTCACAGAGGAGAACATTTCTGAACTGGTGGAGGGCCACGACCAGGAACTGTCCACCCAGGAGCTGGTTGAGATGCAGGCACAGGCTATGGAGGAGCAGGAAGAAGAAGAGCCAGAGGAGGAACAGCTGTCCATCAGGGACCTGAAAAAGCTCTTGCACCAATGGGAGAACGTTCAGACTCTAATTCAGCGGCACCACCGTGACAAGGCTCTGGCACATCAGTTTGTGCACATCTTTGATGAGAAGCTCGTGTCCCCTTTCAGAGGGATGCTGAAAAGGCGACAGAAGCAGCTGACTATGGAGAGGTTCCTCACAAAGAGGCCAAGACAGAAAGAGGAACCTGCTCCTTCCACCAGTGGTGCCCAGTTGCCTTCTTCCTCCCTCTCATCATCGTCCTAGAAGACTGCTGCTGTGATGTGGGGACAGTTCTGTGTGCCTCCAGGTCCCTGCATTGAACACTGGTCCAGGTGGTTTAGAGCAGTGGTTCTTAACCTTTGTTACTTGGATGTTTTTGAACTGCAACTCCCAGAAACCCCAGCCAGCACAGTTGGTGGTGAAGGCTTCTGGGAGTTGCACTCCAAAACTCCTGAGTAACCCAAGGTTAAGAACCAGTGGTTTAGAGGCTTCAGCCTCACTTGTTCACTTTAAAAATGTTACTGTACTGTACTCTAATATCTACTGTACTGTACAATGTTAAAGGTTTCTGTCCTTAAACATTTATGTAATGTCTCTTTATGTTTGTGCACTTTATGAAGACTTTCTGTATGTTGATGCACTTTCTAAAGAGTTTTATACAATCCAATGTTATGTTTGTACACTTTATGAAGACTTCCTGTATGTTGATGCACTTTTTAAGGAGTTTTGTACAATCCAATGTTCCTGCCTCATGTTTGCTGTTTTTAAAATGTTTTTCTATGTTATCTATAAAGTTAAAGTTTATAAACTTAAAGTTCCTGCCTCATGTCTGCTGTTTTTTAAATGTTTTTCTGTTATTTATAAAGCTAAAGTTTACTGTTTAAAATGTTTGAAATCACCTGCACAGTATTTATGATGTTAAAGTGCACTTAATAAACCCTTTGTTAACCAAATTTGACTTTGTTCTGACTCTTTTTAAATTTGTTGTTGAATTTTTCCCCCATTGAGATGCATTCAATAGGTTTCAATGCATTTCAATTGGGGAACCGCGTTTCACTTAGCAATGTTTCCTATGGCGATTTTCGCTTAAGGACGGCAATTCGTTCCTATTGAAACGGATTATCCAGTTTTCAATGCATTTCAATGGGAAACCGCATTTCGCTTAGCGATGTTTTCCCATAGCGACGATTTTTTTGGAACCAATTAAAATCGTTAAGCGAGGCACCACTGTATTCTGTTATGTCATCTGTTTTTGGATTAAATAGATCCTCACCATCAAAACGCAAGTCCTCTATATAACCTCTGGACTCTTTCAATATTCCTGACTATCTTAGGAACAGACATCTCCTTAAAACTACTGCTGCAGCCATGTTCTTAGTTGCACAATCTGTAGAATGTCTTGCAGAATTTATTTCTAGAGATGCAATTGATAGGGCTTCCTACTGAAAGGTTAAAGCTGGAGTTCTTTTGCCCTCCGGGAAACTCATTAGAAGAGGTTGTAATCTGTTCCACAAAAAGTGATGATATGGCCCTATTGATGCCTGATAGTTAGCAACCCTAATTCCTAGAGCTACTGTAGAGTATATTCTTCTACCAATTAAGTCAATTTTATGACCTTCCTTGTTTATTGGAATTGAGTGCAGTTTCCCTTTAGATCTAGACTGGGAAACCTCTACAATCATCGAGTTAGGCTGAGGATGCTTTAAAAGAAAGGATGTTCCTTCCTCCTGTATGTTGTAGTGATTTTCTAACCTCTTCAAAGTAGGCAGTAAGGAAGAGGGTTTCTGCCAAGATTCCTTTATAAGGTCAGATAAAGTTTGCAGTAATTATATTTACACCACTTGTACTGCATTATACTGGACTTTTTCAAATACCAAATCCATTTTTGGACGAGATGACATATGTACTTCAGTTTGCAGAGATTTTGCCATACAGATGTTGGAACATGACCTTATGTCCTCTGATGAGTGCAGGGCACTAAAATCTCCTACATCAGAATCTGGTGATGTCAAATAACAAAAGGTGAAGAGTCCTGTTCATCTGTATCAGTACTCTCTGGTTAGCTTTGTAAACTCAACACCAAACAATCTTCCTGTTCCTTCACAACCTTCTTAGAAGACTTCTTGTCTTTCTACCTCAACGCCCCTTGCTCCAGTCCCCTTGAAACTAATGAAGCTGTTTTTGAGTTCAGTTTTACCAACATATTTTTCTATTGGAATTGTATTGGACTGCTTATTAAGATCCTTTCTTGGTATTAAAGAATGCATTTGATGCTGAGGATGTTTGATTTCCTCAGTTGTAGTTTCAATGTGTCTTGTGCTGTCAACATAATCCAGTGCTGATGAGCAAGATCAACTCCGTCCAGGTATGGTTGCCCTAGAGCTGCCCTCTAGCATCGGTGATCCTATCAATCCAAAGGCTTCCAAGTCAAAAGTTTGTGGCCCACTGTTATTGAAGGGAATCTTGGACTACTGTCTGGTATTGGTCATTTACTCAATACTAAAGGCATTGGTGCCAATGCCAAAGGAGAACTTGACCGTGACCTCTACTTATAGTGGCTTCAAAACATCATGTGAACCCCATCTTTCATTGAAATGTGACACTGGAGCACGACAGTTAGAATCTGCACAATAAGGTGGTGGTGCAAAAAAATAATACAAGGGAACCATAGGTCTACCCCTTCTTGTGGAGCAATCACAGGAGGGTGATTTTGAGTATTGTCCCTCTCCAGGCGTAGCTCATCTCAGTTTTGGAGATCTTGAAACCAACTGAGAGGATCAATGCTGACCACCCAAACTCCTATATTTGGAATCAATCACTGTTTTGCTGCATCCAAGTGAGCCTCTTCTATGATCAAGCATCAAAATTGCTCCTTAGCAATACTTGTGTTTCTTGGCCTGAAGGATCAGCTTCCTTCTCTGACATGAAGCCCAGACAGACAATCTCTTCTGGATTCAGATATCAGTGGTGTACAGGAATAAACTACCACAGATGCTAATGAATTTAAGTCCTTTTCTTTAACATTTTAGATTTAGACAGATTTGCTTCTGGAGCTTTTCTCTCTTCATTGATGTTGACAAAGACACAATTAACTGTTTCAGTGACTTAGATATGTCTTCACTTGGAACCTACTCAGCGGGATTGGTGTTCAATTTCACCTGAGCCATTTCTAGTGTCTTGTCCTGGGCAATTTCTTGCTATTCTGTATGGACAGATTCCATTATTAGAGCTTTCAAGGGAGTCTTGCAAACACTGAAAGTCAATGTTGAGGCCTGTTCTTTCAAAATGGAATCAGCCGTCTTCAACAACTGTTCCCACAGGAAAAAAAATCAAATGAAGCTGTCTATTTTTCAATACCATTTTGTAAAACTCTGGCAAATCTTGCACTTTTGAGTCTGATGGCCTTCGTTCAGGCACTTAATATGCCCATCAGAAAGTGGTATCTTGCCGCCACAAGACATGCAATGTTTGAATGGGCCCTTTGAGGGCCCATTCAAACTCAAGAAATATTACTACTAACAAATAACTATTTCTTTCTTTCTTTCTTTTTAGGTTAAAAAATAAGCAGGAAATCTATGCACAGAAGGCTAGTAAATAAGAAAAATAACAAAGCTATATACAAAGTGTGCTGCTTACATACCGCCCCATAGTGCTTAAAGCACCCTTCAGGATGGTTTACAAATTAATTTTTGCAGGATACACATTGCCTCGATCCACCCCCGTGAGCTGGATACTCAATTTACTGACTTCAGAAGAATGGAAAGCTGAGTCAACCTTGAGCTGGCTACCTAAGCCCATTGGGATTAAACTCAGGTCGTGAGCAGGATCTAGGCTGCAATACCAGTTTAGCCATCATGTCACAAGTCTTATACTGAACCAGTAAGCTCCAGACATTACCAAGAAGCTGCACTAGCAGTAGTTAGAAGGGAACTGAGAGCACACTGATTGGATGGCGTAATATATTGGAGAAGGGAGGGGCAAAGTTCTAGAGTGTTCTTGAGGGTGTTTTGTGCAGGTGCAGAAGTATCCATGTGAGTGATTCACAGAAGCCACAAAGAAGATTCGATCTGAAATTTATCTTAAAAGTCATCTGGACACAAAGACCACCAGAGATGAGAAATGGAATAGGCAGAAATGACAATAAGACACAAACCCCAAAGGGGAAGGAGATGTACTCACTTCTAACAAGATATCTGCTGCATCATGAATACACATGACCAAGGTTCCTACTCGCACCATCTTGTTCATATAGGAGAAGGTAATGAGTCCTACTGTAGCCAAGTGATGGATAAACATCATCAGAAAATCCTGAGAGGAAAAGAAGCAGTATGAAGAGAATTACAGAGGTCAGGAAACTCTTGTCATTCATTTTTAATAAAAGGAAAAGTCAGTATAATTCATCTTGGGAAGACATTTACATGGTATCTGCATATTCATTCTCAGCACAAAGAATAATTTATTTCAAGGCAAGCGTTCTTTAGTACAGAGAATTGGTCTAGAAATCTGCATGGCCAACAAACACTGCTGTATCTCAGACTTATGTTTCTCTAATTTCTTGAGAATCCATGTTTTTTTTTTCATTCTCAAGACAAATGTTTGTAATTATGACAGTATAAAAATGAAAAATATTGTAATGTTTTTTGATAGGGGGCATCTGTGTGACTGTTTTCTACATTTTTGATTTGTTCTTTCATAACTTACCTGAAAGTATAATAAATGGGTTTTGGAGAGTGTAGAGCACTATGCATATACTCAGTATGGCATACTGGATATTCTCAGGGTTTTTTAAAAGGTGTGGTTTCTAAGCATGTTGGCTTCAAGCTCTTCTTCGGAATGTATGGCCCATCTCTTAATTAGGAGGGAGGGAAGACTGCCTGGTGTACCTGGCCTATACACGATCAGGCATGTGAATTATGCACATTAAAAACACCACATAAGTTTGGAACTGCCCACAAGAACTTCATGCACAGCCTTGAAGAAGATACTTTATGATCAAAAGCTAGCTATTTGTTTTTTCTTTTTGCTGATTTTTTATTTTGTATTCTTAATGGTTGATTAAAGGTATCACATGCTCCTGAAAATACTTCACTCATCACAAGTTTGCATTTTGATGGAAGCCTTCTAATCAAAATAAGTTTTAATCAAAGATAAAGACTGGCCATTCTATTGGTAGGTACTGACTGATTCTTCTGACAGAAAATTTGATGAGATGGTCATGGGACTCTTAGAAAAAAGTTTCTTTCTTACCTTTCGCTTAATGTCTGTAAACTGTGAAAACATTAGAGACCAGTAAAAGGCCAGTTCTGTAATGTAATAATAATAAAGGCCAGATGTAATTGGCTGAAAAACAAAGAAAAAGAAAGATCTTGTTCAAGAGTCACCCAACATCGTCACAAAGAACTATAAATTGGTAAGAGAGCATCTCCTTCCAATATTGGAATTAGAAGAAAGCCTACATTCTTTGCCCTACCAATCCCATATTTCTACAGAAAGCTGCAAACATTTTTTAAAAAACTAGTTAGAGACCTGGATGTTACATCTAATTATTCTTTTACTATGCATAAGGAGATACTGTTGGGCTGAGGGCAAGAACTTCCACTATGTTTGACACTTGATTATCTAACCACCACTGACACCACCACCACCACCATCAGCAGCAAGGAAAACAACATTCTACCTCCCACTCCTGACAAGAGCACCTGGACTGCAGATAAGGGGTAACATTCTTCCCCCCTCAGCAGGATGGAAGGAGGCAATGCAGAGCACTGTCTTGTCCATCTATCCACACCTGGAGTGCAGCCAAAGGGCTCTGAGCAAGTGTAGTAAATAGCGCCCATTTCTTGTCCAGATCCTGAAGGCTTGGTTTTGTTTCGAAGACAGTGAGTTCAGAAACAGAAGTTTGGAAAACTCAGCCTAACAATCACAGAGGCAGTGAATTCAGTGACAGCTAAGAAGGTAGAGATGGGAAGAAGCAAAATAGAAGATGAGTTGAGAGGAAACCAAACTTTTTGTTCATTTTCTGCTTCGTGAATTTTGGCAGGGTTTTTACTGTCTCCTTCCCCTTCAAGGACTGCTACCTTGTCGTAGTGAAGGGGCTTGAGTAATTCAGAGAATTATTCTCTTAACTATTTAAAATCTTGAAAGAGGATGCTATTAAGGTGCTACACTCAATATGCCAGCAGTTTGGAAAACTCAGCAGTCGCCAGAGGATTGGAAAAGATCAGTCTACATCCCAATCCCAAAGAAGGCCAGTGCCAAAGAATGCTCCAACTACCGTACAATTGCACTCACTTCACATGCTAGCAAGGGTATGCTCAAAATTCTACAAGGCAGGCTACAGTAGTATGTGGACCGAGAACACGCAGAAATACAAGCTGAATTTCGAAGGAGCAGAGGAACTAGAGACGAAATTGCTAACATGCGTTGGATTATGGAGAAAGCTAGAGAGTTCCAGAAAAACATCTACTTTTGCTTCATTGACTATGCAAAAGCCTTTGACTGTGTGGACCACAGCAAATTATAGCAAGTCCTTAAAGAAATGGGAGTGCCTGACCACCTTATCTGTCTCCTGAGAAACCTATACATGGGACAGGAAGCAACAGTTAGAACTGGATATGGAACAACTGACTGGTTCAAAATTGGGAAAGGAGTACAAGGCTGTATATTTTCCCCCGGCTTATTTAACTTATATGCAAAATACATCATGCGGAAGGCTGGACTGGAGGAATCCCAAGCGGGAATTAAGATTGCCGGAAGAAATATCAACAACCTCAGATATGTAGATGATACCACTCTGATGGCAGAAAGTGAGGAGGAATTAAAGAACCTCTTAATGAGGGTGAAAGAAGAGAGTGGAAAAAATGGTCTGAAGCTCAACATCAATAAAACTAAGATCATGGCCACTGGTCCCATCACCTCCTGGCAAATAGAAGGGGAAAATATGGAGGCAGTGACAGAGTTTACTTTCTTGGGCTCCATGATCACTGCAGATGGTGACATCAGCCACAAAATTAAAAGACATCTGCTTCTTGGGTGGAAAGCGATGACAAACCTCGACAGCATCTTTAAAAGCAGAGACATCATCTTGCCGACAAAGGTCCGCATAGGCAAAGCTATGGTTTTCCAGCATGGTTTTTCCAGTAGCGATGTATGGAAGTGAAAGCTGGACCATAAAGAAGGCTCACTGCCAAAGAATTGATGCTTTTGAATTGTGATGCTGGAGGCAACTCTTGAGAGTCCCCTGGACTGCAAGGAGACCAAACCTATCCATTTTGAAGGAAATCAAACCTGAGTGCTCACTGGAAGGACAGATCCTGAAGCTGAGGCTCCAATACTTTGGCCATTCATGAGAAGAGAAGACTCCCTGGAAAAGACCCTGATGTTGGGAAAGTGTGAAGGCAAGAGGAGAAGGGGCCGACAGAGGACGAGATGGTTGGACAGTGTCATCAAAGCTACCAACATGAATTTGACCCAACTCCAGGAGGCAGTGGAAGACAGGAGGGCCTGGCGTGCTCTGGTCCATTGGGACACAAAGAGTTGGACACGACTTAACGACTAAACAACAACAACAGTCTCCTTAATTGAATTGTGAACTCATTGGGCAGAGACACCTTTTTTCATTTGTTTTTTAAAATGTATGCTAATCAAAATGCCAATCATCTATTTCATCATATGATGTCTTCATCATGAAATTAACAAAGATGATGCATTTATTATAGAGAAACAAAATGAGAATTGTGCTGTGCATCAATAAATGAGCAAAGAGTTTTTCTCAGTGACTGGATAACTTTCAACACATGCTGATTCCCCACACACACACACACGTGTGTGTGCATGTGTCCGTGTGTGCATTGTCCTCCGTCCACCATGCAAAGTGATCACAAGATTAAAGCAAGATCTACCATGTACTAACAGAAGCATCAATGTAAAGCTCACTCTTCACTGCATCATTCCTACTGTTTTGGAGGCTTCCATAATTCCTTTTAGTTTAGCTCCATGGCACCCAAAGCCTCTGAAATCAAAGACCTCCTTCTTTAAGGAGAAGGAAAAAACATGCAAGACCACAGACTGTGTGACAAAGCATCTTCCATGAATTAACAAACTTTTTCAAAATTGTGATGCTCTTTCAGGATCAGTATCCATGTTCAGGAGGAAATATACCAGCCAAAATCTAAAGGACTTTAGGAAACAATAGCTTCATATCCAATAAATGGCGATCAACATCTACACCACCTTATCTTGTTATAACACACATATTTATAAACAGATACCTGAAAAGGATAGTTGTACCAGCATTGTCGTGTATCCCAAAACCAGGGTGACTACAGTGAAAAATAAAGAGAAAAAAAAATTGAAAGAGTATACTACAACAAAAAAATTCTGTTTGTTCAGGGGTTTAACGGTATTTTAAAAAAGACAATGAAGAATTCTGCCTGTTAGTGTGTGGAGTCAAAGGGTTTTCATTATGTTTTTTACACTAAAACCAATATGGGAAATGTACAGGTTTCCCCACACAAACACCAGCATATATCAGTATTTAAATAAAATGTATATAGATATTGTCCCCTTCAAAAATACAGCAGCCAAAACATATTCTATATTGTAATCAGCATCACCTGGCATACTTCTTCATATGATTCAATTTTGTTATGGGGGGAGGATCTTTAGCTGTCTTTGACAGTAGATTACCTATTTTTTCAAAAACCTTCCACGAATAATTTTTATCACCATCAAAGTTCACCAAGCTGTTGTTCAAAGAAAACAACTGCAGTTTCATCCACTATTCTGCAGAGATCTATTTACTGAAATTAACAAACAACAGATGAATAAATGTTGTTTCAAATAGATTGTCCAGATTTTACCAACAAAACATCTGGCATACAAAGTATGATATTTGGTGGTCACTAATCTAGCAATTTTCAGAAAGGTTGTGGTAATGTTTACTTAACTATTAAATATAACTAAATCCTGCATGTTATCATTTGCATCACCAGCAACTTGAATTATTGTATTTATTTTATAAATTTATTTCATACCACCCCATTAGTGCAAAGCACTATTCTGGAGGATCATTATAACATACATTTTTACAGTCATGGAGTATTTCGTACATGATTTCACTGAAGGAACACCAAAAAAATTTATAACACCTTTGTGTCAGATTTTTCACATCACGTTTCAGGCATTTCTCAGATATGATGACGTATGAAACACCAGGTGCTGTTTCAGGGACCCTAAATCCATTGGAAAAATCTTACAAATATCAGTGGTTTTATTTTTACAGCTTTTTGCATTACGGAGAAAAGTGAAAAGCCACAAAGGTAGGGTGCTTGGGTCAGAACGGCATCTGCCAATGCTTGCAGTCAATCTTAGTATGTGGCCAGATTCAATGGAGACTAATTCAAGAGCTACTTTTCTCTATTCCCAGAACCTTAAAAACCAGGGCCAGTAAGTGGTTGAGAAATGAATCATCACAGGGCTCCAGTCAAAATATAGCAACTGATATATATTTTTATCAGTGTGCCTTAAGCAGGTGACTAAGAAAAAACTGATTCTGGTTGATATGGTGGTGGCTCAGCTGCTTGCTTCCAAACCTTGACGTGTTAACAGAAGTACTTTTAGTTTTCAAAAAGATTGTACACTCATAAGTTATGACAAAGAAAGGACAGTTATACACCTTCTTTCAATACACAGCTATCTCAGACCATCAAAATCAAATGTTTTTTAAAAATACTACCATTTAGGGCAATACAAACACCTGCTACTGGAGGATCTCTATGTACACTTCCAATCACTCCATTTTTGTAGGTTCACGTGCTTTACAATGTATAATGTATTATAACTTAACTGCTACCGTATGGCTTATCAAAGGAGGTAAATAAACTTTTCAATCCCAAGGGACATATCCAGTATTAAATGAAGACTGCAGGCATACATGCACACACAAAGGGGGGTGTTGCATCTGTGCTAAATTGTGGCCAATGGGGGGAGGGAGTTTGCTAAATTACAAAATAACTATGCAAACTCCCCCTCCCTTTTTAAAAAATGTTGTCAATAGGCCTTTACACTAAAATCACCTTAAACATTATCATTATGTTGTTTTATAATAACTTGGCTGACAGTTTTCAAAATATTATTTGTCATAATTTTACTTCTACTGTAGTCTGATAGATTCTGATTTGCAAGTGCTGAAAGAAAACAATTACAGTAGTAATGTTTCTTTTCTGAAGTCATTTCTATGTATGTAATTTTGCATTAAAATCAGAGGAAAGCAGAAATCAGATCAAGACCTAATGAGAGATTGGTGTGATTTTGCATTTATTATTCATCAAATGTCACATACCAGCGTAATCTCATAATCCCTTTATGACTGGTGGTCGGGAGGGAGGGTTTAATAAATTGTTGTGCTCTGTTACTTTAAACATTCTAGTATTTATTTTGTTTTATTTATTTTAATACAATACTTGTTTAATTCTTTTTAAATATTTGTACTTACTTTTCAGCTTTTAAATATTGTCTTTTTAATGGTGTAACATGCCTTGGGTCCTTTTTAAGGAGGAAAGTGGAATAGAAATATTTTAAATAAATAAGTAATCTCTAAATATCTTAGATCTTTTTCTTTCCAGAATGAAACTATCAATGCACTTAGATGAAGTTTCTACCACCTCACCTACATTTATTTCATGCTCTTTTTTACTTTTGTTGATTTGCTGAAGAGCTCAATGGTTTAGGCATGAACTGCTGGATAGCTCAGTGACTTCGGCATCTGGCTGCAGAGCCAGAGGCTGGGAATCTGATTCCCTGCTGTGCCTCCTTGATATGGGCTGGACTTGATGATCCATAGGGTCCCTTCCAGCTCTGCACATCTAAAATTATTATATATCATTATTATTATCTAATTGCGGAGCTAGAGGTTCGGAATCTGATTCCCCACTGTGCCTCCTTGACAGAGACTGGACCACAGACTCCCTTCCAGCTCTACAGTTCTAAGATGATTGTTATATACCCTGAGGTCAAATTATTATACAATAGATATCAAATCAGGCACAGGAGGTAAGGGTTCCCTTAAAAGGAAGGCAATGTTATCTGTATATACAATACCCTTAACTTAAATCACAGAAGTGAAGGCATGTTATTTGTCACTTACACAAGAAAAAGTATATCTATGAAGATTCTCAGTCATCCAGGCGAGGTTATCTGGAAGTTGAGTCATGGCAACTGGACTTCTTATTAGGTTGAAACGTTTTACTACTCATCCAAGTAGCTTCTTCAGTCTGAGGAGAGTTGATATATCCTCCACGCAAAATCCAGCTGCCATGACTCCACTTCCAGATAAACAGAAAAAGTACTTGTATGCACACACAATAGCAATCTATATACGGATCCTCATCCTTTACAAAGAACTAGGGTATTGCAACTCACAAACTGGTCTATCTAGTCTGGTAATCAGAAATAGACAAATGTGCAGCATTTCTGTGATTAAGCATGATAGCAAGGCTATCTTTCTTGTTGTATCACATTTTTCTTATATGGAAAAATGTGAATTTAACTCATAATGCCAGAAAAGTATCAAGAAAAATCAAATGAATGTATCCTTTTAATCCCATTGAGTGGAAATTGAGTACCATATAACATACTCACCGACCAAAGAAATCTGATTCCATAGGTAAATATGTATAAATAAAATATAAGCCTCCACCTGGAAATGAAAAGCAGGTATACATTTACTATATAACATAAACATCTTGATTTTGTTAACAATTATCTAATAGGTCAGAACCAGCTTTAACCAGAGGCAAACCAACAACTGTCTCACACTCTGAAAGCCATAAGTTTTAATATATGGTAAAATGGACAACACTAATCTCTGTAACCTCATTTATCAAACTGACTTTGTTTCAGAGATTTCACAACAATCTTCAATAATAAAGTACATAAAATATACCCATAGCACTTAGGAACATATAGCTCTGCTGCCTCTGTAATAAGAGAGAGCAGCATGTGCATGCCTGGTGGCAGTGCATATCCACAAGAATCTATAATGCAGTAGATATACTTAGCTGGTTTACAGTTCCTAATGCAAATTACAGAAGATGGAAGCAGGTCAAATGAGACTCCCACTCACCTAAGAACACCTTGGGCAGAAGCCACTGGAGAAGAGAGGCAGAAGCCATAAAGGTAGCAGGCAGGAAGGCAAAAACGCTCAGATACTACAGTGATAGAGGTCATGCATAAAAGGGTAAGAAAATAAATTTAGGCAGGACAGAAAAGGAACAAGTGCCCGGGAAAAATTTAAGTATGTGATTTGGAAGTAACATTAAAAGGTAAAAGATAACTTTGTTAAAATTAAAAGCCAAAGTAAAACCCAGTTTCCTCAATAACTGCCTAGCACTATTAGGAAAGTCAAAAGGTAAGTGATTTTGATAAATTGAATGTCTTGCTCAACACATACTGGAAACAACCAAGAAACAGACATGGCTCTCTAGGAACCCACTGTTGCACATCCAAACCTAATGGGCAATAAGGTTATCTCTAGATTCCTGGTGCAAAGCAAAGTAAATTCTGATTGTACAAAGTTGAATCTTTGCCTCAAAGTTCAAGCAGAAGAATATGTCAACTTTTAAAAAAAATTGAAGTTGTTAAGAGTTACACAAACCTACATGCTCTCACAGAACTTCGCAAGGGTGCTTGGTTTGTCCTGATTCCTCCGATGACGAAACCAGCACTGGATTTTTCGGACATCCCAGTCAAGCTGTTTTGACAAACCTTCTAACCTTCTTGCATCTGGACACTAGGATGTGATCAAACAGATGTACAGTGATCTTATTAGCCTCTTACCAACCTTCCAAAAACGGACATTTCCCACTCTTATACAGTTACATCTTCCAATTTACAACCTGCTGCATACTACTTGGAATTGTGCAAGTTGGGAAAAGATTAAACATTACATTTGAGAAATGATTTCTCAGTACAACAACAGGATGATGACATGAATGCAGGAAACAATGTGGGAGTAATCCATACAGAAAAATTCCAAAGAAGCAAAACACACACTAAGAAAACTCAAGAACAAAGTCAAATACACCCCTATAAATTTAATAGATTTCAGACTTGTTGTGATTGTTTTCTACTATAGATGTCTTTTAACCTACCCTACAGCACCTTCCTTCTCATTATCTTCAATTCTGCCAGAAAAACACAAGCTCCAATAAATTAGTTTTCCCTAGAAGTGCCTCCAAAATCTTTCCTGCACTTCCCACTGTTCACAGCAGTAGTCTGATGGACTCTCTGATGTACAGTAAAAGCAGCACTATAGAATTACAATGTTAAAACAAAACCCATCCGTGGCATCCACACATAGGTCTAAATAAATAATAACTGTGTGTTAGGTACAGTGGGGTCTCTACTTAAGAACGTCCCTACTTAAGAACAATCCAACTTAAGAACAGCTCCATTTGCTAAATTTTGATTCTACTTGAGAACAGAAATCCAAGATAAGAACAGGAAAAAAAACCCTTTCCTGCTCTTTTTTTAACCTTAGGTCATCTTAGGTTTAAAAAAAAATTCTCCCCATAGTGGTAGAGTACGTATTAACCAGCTCTGGTTAATGTACGAACGCACCTCTACATAACAAAAAAAACAGCCAGAACGGATTAATTGGTTTTCAGTCCATTCCTATGGGCAATTTTGCTTCAACTTAAGAACATTTCAACTTAAGAACACCATTCCAAAACGGATTAAGTTCTTAAGTAGAGGTTCCACTGTACATGAGAAAAAAGGAATCCACATAAAGTTACAGGCTCAAGCACTCTGCCTCATCTCTTTTATTTTGCGCACCACAAGAAGGAATAAACCAGCATTAAATTTCACTTTTCCAAATTCTAGTATATCACTACATATTAAGCAGAAAATGTGAGTTAAATAAACTCAGTTTGTTAAAAATTAAAACAAAACAAAAAACCCTACACAATCCAAAGTTTGTCTCTGAGGTGACACAGAGCTCAGCAACTGATTAGCATTTATTTTAAAACACAGTTCCTAGATCACATATAATTGTAAGCTAGAAGCCAGGGACAGTGAAACTGAATGCTGGTTTATTCTTCCTTGCAACTACAGTATGTGAAAGGAAAGAAGGCATGCATCAGTTTGAGGCTTTACTCTGGCTCATTACTGCTCACACATATCATGTATTATTCATGGTTTTAGCATTATGTGCAAACCCATCAATTAACATAGTATCTAAAATCTACCCAACAGTTTTTTTAAAAAAATATCCCTAATTCCTTCCAATGTGCCAATTTCTATCCCTAATTCTTTCCAATGTGCCAATTTCAGCAGTTAGAGAAAAAATCTGTCTAAATTTGTAGATTTCTCCAACAAAGCATGGGAGAAATCCAGCACATTTCTGAAACTAGAAATGGCTCAAAAGATAGGGAAGTTTGTCCTCTGTGCCCTCCTCTCAGGCAGCCAATATAACATGCTTGCTCTAAAAGAAAGGGCTTGGATGTTTCACACTGTCTAGGGATTCCGAGAACTGCACTCCAAGGAAGTAACACTTCCAAATTCTCTGAAAAACAAACATCTGCACGTGCCCCATGACCTGAGAATCCTCAAGTATGAATGAAACAGACTAACCACCGCCATGGTTAGTTGCTGACCTATACTGCTGTGTTTCAAAGGCAATAAACAAAAGAGACAGAGGATGTGGAAAACAAACTCTCCAGATATTTTATATAAGGGAAGCACTAGAAGGGACGTGGTGGCGCTGGAAGGGACGTGGTGGCGCTGTGGGCTAAACCGCAGAAGCCTGTGCTGCAGGGTCAAAAGACCAAGCAGTCGTAAGATCGAATCCACACGACGGAGTGAGCTCCCGTCGCTTCTCCCAGCTCCCGCCAACCTAGCGGTTCGAAAGCATGCAAATGCAAGTAGATAAATAGGGACCACTTCGGTGGGAAGGTAACAGTGTTCCGTGTCTAAGTCGTACTGGCCATGTGACCACGGAAGATTGTCTTCGGACAAAACGCTAGCTCTATGGCTTGGAAACGGGGATGAGCACCGGCCCCTAGAGTCGAACACGACTGGACAAAAATTGTCAAGGGGAACCTTTACCTTTAAGCACTAGACCAAATCTGCTATGAGCCACAGTTGGAGGCTGTGCTAAAGTAACCAGCTGTAAACAAAATCTCTTGCATTTTAAATAATTAAGACATAACCAAATTATGTTTCAATTGTAATATTAAAAGGGGGTAAAAACCACACTGGCTACGGAAGTCTGGAAGCTATCGGCTATGAATGTACGTTTCCTAATATAAAAAAAAATACCACAAGCCATACACTGGGTCAGCTCCAAAGTAACTCATTACCAATAATGAATTAGCTGTATTTTTATAAGGAATAAGTATATTACATCACAACTGCTAAATGGGGTGTGTATGTCAAAAACAAAAGCATCTACAGGCCGTAAATGTAACTTCCTTCAAGATAGGAGAATTCCCACATAGGTCCTCTCATTCCAAAATGGAAGGAAGGGAGTAAGGCTGGATTTCCAATAGACTGAAGCAAAGTAAAGACTGGGTGTGTGCTGGTGGAAGGGCCTATCTTCAATCCTATATCCTGTCAAGTCATATTTATTATCGCTGGTTAGTTTGTTTCTGTGGCTTTGGTTCCTGTTGCTGACTTCACCCTCTTTTTAAAAATTAATTATTTAACATATTTTTATATCACCCTTTCAAAATCTATTGTTACAAGCAGGGCTTACAATTTCATCAAAACAAAAAGCGATCACAAAAGAGGAGATATGGAGAAAAGAAAGTCACACCAATACACAAAACTGTAGCAGCTCTGCTGTAACAAAACTGAACAGTCAATGTCTCTGGATGGGGGGGGCTGCACTGCCCCCAGTGGAATTTTTCAGGGGCTGTGCAGGTGGGTGGTGCTATTGGGTGGGACCAAAATACAGACAATATACAATACAGACACGCCTTCGCACATGTACAAGATTGCTTGGGTGAAGGAGAGCTTTAATTTTCACATCCTACAATTACAGTTTCAGGAGGGGAGAGATGAAGAGTTGCAAAAGAGATTGACAAAGTGCAACCCTTCCGGATGTGTTGGGACTGCAGCTCTCAACATTCTTCACCACTCCCTATGCTGACTAGGGATTACCTGCACACATACCTCACCAACAACAACCTTGACAGAAGAATAAAGAGAAAATGGCCTGGCAAATTAGAATCTGTGGGGACAGATAATAATGAGCTCAGGAATATTTAATTATTTGGGGGGGGGACTACCCTTGGATAAGCAGCAGGAGAAAAGTTTTCTGTAGCCCAAGCAGGCATTCCCATACCTGACAAACAGCAAAGTATTCATAGCTCAAGGGTGTATGTTTATTCTATAGACATTTTCAAGCTTGGTGCTCAGAAGTGGAGCAGCAAAAAAAGAGGCTGATTGCCTTAGGTCAGGAGAGAAAGAGCCACTGTGTTCAGTGCTAATCAATGGCAGCATCATGAGGCTCTGAAATGGATGCAGGAAGGGAAAACTCAGTATTTTTCTCTTTATACAGAAGGTAAAGAAAAGGAGAATTTATGCCACTGCATCAGCAACAATGAGAACCTGTAGACTAGATGTTTTGTTTCTTCAGTTGGCTCTAGAAGAGTCAGGGATTGGCAAGGATGTAACAATGCCTGAAACACACACTTATGTATGCATTAAGAGGTCAGTGAAAAGAGAGGGTTGTGCTGCCTACATGTGGCAGGTGGAAAGAGACAGAAAGGAGAGACTGAAAACTGGACTGGGTTGTAGCATACTTCTATAACCACCTATTTTCTTTGTTAACATACCCCACCACAACACAGGGACAACACTCTCAGGAGTTTTAAAGTTTGTCCTGTTGTCTGCAGTGTCTTTTCTAAATTTGCCTCATCTTATAAATGAAGGAATGAAAAAAAATTCTCGGGTGCAGTCTCAGTTTGGATTAATGACTGAACCAAGGTATATAACATATTTAACAATTTCGATTTTTTTCATTGTCAACACTGAAGTTGTGTAACTGTTCTATACTCATGATTTTTATCTTCTTAGTGTTCAACTGCAGTCCTGCTTTTGAACTTTCTTCAAGAGTAGTCATTGTTGCTTTCTACCAGTAATACAATGTATTTCTTCAATTACAGATGTTTCTTCCACCAATTTTCAGTCTTCCTTCACCTGAATGTAATCCAGATTTCCGTATGATCTGCATACAGATTTAACAGATGGCGGTAAAATACACCCTTCTTTGGAACCTTTGCTTATGACAAAGCATTCTGTTTGGCTACATTCTGTACTAACAGTAGCTTCTTGTTTACAATACAAGTTATGCATGAGGACATCCAAGTCCTGAAGCACACACATTTCTTTCTGAACAACTCATAGCATCTCATGATCCACATAGTCAAAGACTTTGCTGTAGCTGGTAAGACTTAGGCTGATTTTCTTCTGGAATTATTTGGCACACCCCAATAGCCAGCATGTATTTGTGACATGATTCCAAATGCACCCTCCCTTTTTGGAATCCAGCTTGAACAACAAGTATTTCTCACTCCATATAGAGTAAAAGTCTTTGTTGTAGTACATTGAATATAACTTTGCTTGTATGGGACTATAATTACAGAAATCCTTGGCATTTAAATATGGTATGAATTACCTGAGCATGATCACTTTTTTAAACTCCATAACCTTTGGTTGTTCTGGGTTTTTCGGGCTCTTTGGCCATGTTCTGAAGGTTGTTCTTCCTAACGTTTCGCCAGTCTTTGTGGCCGGCATCTTCAGAGGATTGTTGCTGTCCGCTGAAGATGCCGGCCACAGAGACTGGCAAAACGTTAGGAAGAACAACATTCAGAACACGGCCAAAGAGCCCGAAAAACCCAGAACAACCATTAGATCCCAGCCGTGAAAGCCTTCGCGAATATATTGAACGCCTCTACAGGGAGGAAACAGTCAGACAGACATGGAGACTGGAAACACTCTGAAGCAAAAGAGCACACCTACTATGTTCCTTAACATTTCTACTACGCTGCAGAGACACAAAAACGACCAGAGCACAGGTTGCTGTCCTCTGAAGATGCCGGCCACAGAGACTGGCGAAACGTTAGGAAGAACAATCTTCGGAACATGGCCAAAGAACCCGAAAAACCCAGAACAACCATTAGATCCCGGCCATGAAAGCCTTCGCGAATCCATAACCTTTATTTAATTGTTGTATTTTCTGTCATTTTCTGCCACCACCCCAAGTTTGGTCTGTGTTTATGTACAATACAATCTACAAGTAGCATTTGTTCCAGATATTTGTTCCATGGGACAGATACTCTTACTTTGCAATGCTTCTTCTGTGGAGATGAGATTTATGTACTTGCAACTGTACATAAAAATGAACCCAAGCTATATGCTTATAAAATCTGCTAAAATTTTAAACTGCTTTGATTTTATTAATTCAGTTTTGTGTTAAGATGTGTTTATTGTAGAAATTATTTGTACTGTAAGTGAATTAGCTTTTAAAGTTGGTTAGCAGAAAGTACCGTGTGACTATGAAGCTCTGGCACAATTCAGTGATCTCTGAAGAGCAGACATAGACAAGGTGGAACAGGAGATGGGAGAAAGTGAACAGAAACGTATGCCAAACAAACTAAACAACAACATTTAATAGAATTTAGGTATTTCAACTGTATCCCAAGTTGCACTACAGGAATAACAAGCTTATTTCTCTAAATAAAATACTTGTAAGGACAGTTGTAAGAAAGAAATATTTATTTACTAATATTTATAGCTTATTCTTTCTCCAAGGTGCTAGAGATGGCTGCCTGAATCCAAATTCTAGTCCCAGGTAAAATACGCCCAACAATAAAAATTCCATCATGTGCCCTAAATTCAGTGAGATTTCTGTGTACATGGCTCTCTTCTTCCTCCTGAACAAGTTTTAAAACTTTCAAGCAAAATTTGAAGCATCACTCACCTTAGTTATAGATGTAAACACCTTTTCAAGAATTGCATTGGGCTGAGCTCTGCGTGGTCCACTGTCTTGAATGTCAAGAAATACAGCACATGGTTTGGCAATAAATCTGGAAAACCAATCCCAAAGAAATAATGTATGCACACAGTGGTCATAAAGTGAAAGCCTAGTATATCTGTAACATACACAGCAACCTCAATTAAATTTCTAATGCAATACTAACAGTCACATGCACAAGCATTCATCCATATAAAGAGTCTAATTAGATTTCCGCTGGGCCAAGTCACAAAAAGAGCCTGAAGACTTGAAACGTGGTGTTTTATCATCTACTTCAACAGATCTAAAATTATTGCAAATTCCAAACTGGCAAGATAAAAATTGGTAGAGGTATGCAGTAAAAAAAGTGCTCAAAATCAAACCCCCCCTTAACAACCTATTTTCAAAAAGGACACTAATAGTTTTTCTTCAAACTTTGATGCAAATTGCAGATTTACTTTACTCAAACTTGTCAAGAAAGGCAGTATCTTATTGGTCTGGTGATGTCCTTGACAGTGTATCAAAAGCAATTTAGATTTCCAGCCCCACTAAATCCTGAGGTGGCAACTGCTAATGTTATTTCAGTTTCGTTCTGAAGCTATAATGTTGTTACTACTCTAACGTTTTCAGAGGGAATGTATGTATGTCAGTAAAGGAATCCAGAGGATCTATGGGCAAAGCCTCTTCCTTCACTTAGAAAATAGACTACACATTACAACATGGATTTGATTCTAGTATGGGTGCCCACCCCAACAGAATCTCTCTTTTTTTCCAGTGATTTTCAGAGATAGCAGGAGATTTTAGAAAGGAAAGAGACTACAAAGAAATTTAAGGTTTAAGTAAGAGAAGTTAGGAAGAGAATATGAAGATCAGGAAGGAAGTGAACAAAGTACCCTGAAATTGTACTCAGAAGGAAGATTTTCTCAATAGAGTTGGATAGTCTATTCATGTACCAGTTACTGACTTCTTTGTGCTTTAAGATGTATTTGTGTGTGTGTGTGTGTGTGTGTGTGCACGCGTGTGTGTGTACACATTCGTATGCATATTTTTTTTCCTTCTCTGCAATAATGAATTTTCTTTCCAAAATTCAAGTAAATTCAGTGGCCAGAAAACTATCTGTGTAAGATCAGAATTAAGGCTCTCTCATGTTTGCTCAAACGCCACAAATATACAATGTGTACCGTATTTGCCGGCATACAAGACGACTTTTTGGGCCCAAAAACATGCCTCCAAGTGGGGGGGTTGTCTTGTACGCCGGGTGCACTTCATTTGGGCTTGCTCGCCCGCCACCCGCCCGTTTCCCTTTTCCTCCTCTTCCTCCTCCTCCTCCTGCCGCCTCCCCAGCCTCTTGCCCTCTTCCTTGCCCTCGGCCAGAGCCCACCGCCCTGCGCACGCTGAGCCAGCGGCGAGCTTGCTCGCCTGCCACCCACCGTTTCCCCTCTCCTTCTTCCTCCTCCTCCTCCTGCTGCCCCCCTCAGCCTCTTGCCCTCTTCTCTGCCCTCCCGCTGCTGAGCCAGCGCGCTCACTCACCCGCCACCCCCCGTTTCCCCTCTTCCTCCTCCTCCTCCTCCTGCCTCCGCCCGCCCAGTGTCTTCCTGTTGGGTGGGGTCATCTTATACGGCCGGTCGCCTTGTAGACCGGCAAATACGGTAAATTAATTGGTCAAATAGCCAGACATTATTCACCAGAACAAAGACGACAGTATAATAAATCTCTCACAATCTGTAAAATAACAAAAATGGACCATGTACTGTACTTGTATGACACATGCACTTATAATTAAACGATGATGAGAATAGTAAGATGGAAGTTAAAATGTATGCCTTGATGTGCTCCACTGTTTGTAATATGCACTGTTGCAAATCAGTTGCATCAATAATAAGGAAAGAGACCAAGGTTCTCATGTTGGCTTCATATCAGGCTAAGCATTTCTTAAACCTTTTAATAATTTTTTCAAAGTTGATTAAATAATTGCGAAGATGGGTGATCCGCAGGTTGATGAGCTTCTACAGCAGCTAAACATACCTTCAAGAAAGAACCCATTTGCTTCAGGTTATGAAGAACTCTAAGAATAGTGTATAATGAAGCTGGGTTGCTACTTTACTAAATAGAAGATATATATTCTATGAACTTGTTCCATTTATAGGCCAATAATATTTTAGTAGATGGTTTTCTAGCCTGTTGTAGAATTATCTTTATTGATGAATTATCCTCCAATCAACTTGAGTTGTATATCTGAACATTTGTAAGAAAGAGGGAGAGATGGTGGGGGGTGCCATATACTCCTGAGAAGCTGACAGACAAGGCGCCTGCAGAGATGAAAGAACTAACAAACAAAAAGGTGGGAATATTATTTCAAACATAGATGTGGAAAGCCTGATAAACGAGGGTCAGCTAGGGGGAGTCATTTTTGGCGGGAAAGCAAAAGGTTATTAAAAAAACTGGGGGAGTCAGTCTCTGAGAAATGCTGGGTGTCAGAGAAAGTGAAGGAGAGAGAAACCTGAGTCAAGCTAGTAAAAGAAGACCCTTGGACAGGGGAATTGACCCTCTTAAAGGTACCTAAAGCAGTAACAGCAAGGGGGTAGCGAGAGAAATAGATATGAAAGCTCTTATTGGAGACAGCCGAAAGGGAAGCTAGAAAGAAAGAATGGGAAAGATTCAATATAGAAGCCAATAACCGGAAGAATAGAATATGTCAAACCCACTCTGGGACCAATCCTTGGAAGACTCCCAGTGCCCAGAAAGATTGAGAGTGAAAGTATGGGAGCCCAATATGGGATGGGTGCTCCACCAATAAACCCATGCCAACATTTGGAGGGGATTGCCACGCTGTGTATTTCAGATATGCTGTTACCAGCTGAATGTTTAGTTAAATCTCTTGTTAAAGATTCTGAATGTACAAATAAAGAACCATGGAACCCAGGAGATAAACTCTTAGGCTTGAGTTATGTAAAAGAAGAAAAAGAAATGTATGTTATTCCAATAAAAAACCTGTTGGACTGAGTCTGTACAAGCTAATGTGGAAGTACCAGTGAACAGAAAGGAGGGAGTGGGCTTGCACAGACCTGACAATATTGCGCTAATTTGTTGTGACATACCAAAAGGTTGTGACACACCAGTTGCTACTTGAAGAACTTTCCCAAGTATCATATTCTTGAATGCTCTTGGGAGGGAGGCTGGCCATGCCATATACTTATAGATATGGTGGTGGACAGAAGAAAGGTACATAGAATGGAACTGCTTGATATCAAGAGTTCAAACATGAATGAATGTGCCTTCTGCACCATGGCAATCTTAGGTGCAACACCAAACACGGCCATATGAGGTCCCTTCTCCAAGGTCCCAATGAGTGGGGTGATTAACAATCTTGCATAGAAGATCTTAACCATGACCTCAATGAAGCCCTCCTCATTGTTGGTATGGTAAGAGAAGACAAGTGTCACAAAGGAGAAACCCTGGGTGATGACAAAGGAACATTTTGTATTGATGGACTACACAACTAACCATCAGACATGGAACCAACATTTTGGCTTTCAACCATGAGGTCTCTCAATTGCAACTGCACTTGTGGTATCAATGCTCTACCCTGTTTCTTTGATTTGTTTTGTCAATATCAGTATAAGAAGAATTTTTCCTCTTTTTATTTTGTGAGTCAGCTACAAGGTCATTTTTGTCTACAGTATTTTGAAGATGTTTTCAAATTTGACAGTTCAGTAATATCCTTCACATGAGGATGAGGTCTTGATGATTTGTCTTCTGTGCCAGAATCCATAACCTTTGGAATCTTTAGAAACTCTTGTAGTATATGTTTGACTGTGATGCTGTTAGTTGAGGAATCAGCTTTCAATTTTTCCCACAAAAAAGATTTCAGTCACAATTTCCAGTTTTTTAGAGTCAATGTATTCTCGAAGGCTTTCACAGCCGGGATCTAATGGTTGTTGTGGGTTTTTTGGGCTCTTTGGCCGTGTTCTGAAGGTTATTCTTCCTGACGTTTCACCAGTCTCTGTGGCCGGCATCTTCAGAAGTCTAGAGTAGGAACTCTGTCCATGCTCTGTGAGGGGCCTTGGGGGGGGTTCCTTTGTTTCTTGGGTTTTTCCCCTCCCATTTCCGATGGGCGTTTTCATTGCTTTTTGGGGTTTTTTCCCCATTTACAATGGGCCCTGCATGCTTCCCTTGCTTTTTCCTTTGTTTTCTTTATTTATTATTTATTTATTTATTTGATTTCTATCCCGCCTATCTGGTCTTATTCGACCACTCTAGGCGGCTTCGACCACTCTAGGCGGCTGTGATGCTGTCTTTGCATTTCCGACCTTGTCCCTCTGTTCTCTGTGCATTTACAATCTGCTTCGTTTGTTTTCTGTGGATTTCCAAAGGGTCTTGCACACTTGATTGCTTTTCTCCCCCCCCCTTCGGCCAGAAGGGATTAATTGTATTTCCAATGAGTCTTGAAGTGATTTTTTATTTATGTGTGTGATTTTTTTTCTTTGTCTGGAATGGATTAATGGAGTTTCAATGCATTCCTATTGGAAATGGTGCTTTGATTTACAGCCATTTCGACTTACATCAATCTTCTGGAACAGATTATGGTTGTAACTCAAGGCACTACTGTATAAATTTTCATTAAGGTTGAAGAGGCCATGAACTGTCAGCAATTACACTGTTAGAAAGGAAAATACACTGGTGCCTCACACAACGATGTTAATTGGTTCCAAAAAAATCAACGTTGTGTGAAACATCGTTCTGTGAAACACCATTTCCCATAGGAATGAATTGAAAACTGGTTAATCCGTTCCAATTGAAACAGATTGCAATCGTTCAGTGAAAATCCCCATAGGAAACATCGTTGAGTGAAACAATGTTTCCTATATTGGAATGTATTGAAGCCAACTCAATACATTTTAATGCCTTTGCGAAGTCCTTTTTCGCTCCTGTAAAAGTGTCTTACAATGTTTGGACACTGTTTTAAATGATTGCAATGGTTAG